GTTCCTCAGGAATCTTAGAACTTTCAGAAGAACAAAAGCAAGAACACTTGAGAGGGCACACCCAGTACAGCAAACTGTTCTGATGCCAGAGATGGGTTATAGCACATCAGCCTATGAGCAGCAAGGAGAATTTAACGCTTTTGGATTGGCTACTTGCGAACTTCCTATCAAAAAACAAAAACAAAAACAAAAACCTGTAGAGGATATCTGTAGTTTCTGTGAAATTGTGGGGATTTCTGTGGACAATTACTCGTTAAGTTCTAAGGAAACTCTGAACCAGGCACTCTGAACCCAGACTTGGGGGGGTGTACTGTACTCCCTTCCAGTTCCTGTGCCCAGGGGTTGCCTCTTCCCGCCTGGAAGCGCTACAGCTTCCAACAGCACACGCAGCTGCTGAACTCACCAGTGAAGGACTGAAATGATGGACACAGTGCCCCTATGGTCCACTCACCTTCCATGAGCCCCACTTCTGAGCACATGATGACTTGGTGGGACATTCCCGATCTAAACCATTACATCTTCCACCAGTGCTGTGACACTGATAAGGCATCAATGAGCTCGGGAATATCTATGTATACTGTAGAATCAGGGATGCTGGGCCCTGAATTTATGTGTTCTTTCTTTCTATGGGGCATAATGAAATAAATCATGCCCATTATTTTACTGGCTGTCTATATCGAAATGGGCTCCCAGCTTCCAAGGTGTCTCATACCACGCACTGTGCTATTGCCTGAGCTGTCCTAGGCTCTAATTGCAGAGAAAACCAACAGCTAAAACTTTATCCCAGTGAGGATTTTTTTTTTTTAAGGTCCAGAGCTGGCAGTTCTATTAGAGTGGAATATTTGAGAACATTGTAGTGCAAATGTGTTCTTAGTAAGGTCTTTGCAAAGGACAGCCGCGTGCTATCACAAGAGGAACAGATGAATTACGTAACTAGTGTCAGTCTCCAACCTTCCTTCCTTAAAACATCATCTTTGCTTTGAGGATAAGCAGGTATGCGTCTTCCATTAAATTGAGATTTCATAGTATATTTTGATTTTTTTAGGTCTTATTTGGATTTTTTAGGTTTATACCTGGAATAAGAAAGTAATTGCTCTTGAAATGAAGGTTTCCAAGGCTGTGGATATCCAGCATCCTTATTAAGACACATCAGGCTAATGAGGAAGGTAATTGCCCATTTTAGAAGGGCTATTTTGGAACCTTTGGTGTTTTGCCTGAGTCTATAACATGACTCAATTACCTACATTCGCTCATTTTAAGAAAATCAAACAATTTTCTAGTAAAAGGAAAAGCACAAGTAGCTTTGATGTCAATCTAGATGGAGCTATATACTAGATGCTGAGAGGAAAAAGTTAGAGGCATGTGTGTCAATATAGCTCAGTCTAGTTTAAAGAAAAATTCAAATTAATATGTAGAGTAAGTGTAGTAAGAGTTTACACTTTAAGGAAAGTTCAAAGTAGACTAACATAGAATTTTAAATTTTTGTACATAGTGACTTTAATCTGATTAGTTTTGAAATATCATTAGATCTTTAGTTTTAAAATATAACTGGATTTTAAACAGTGATAATGATAAGGTATGAAATTCAAACTAAAAATATAATTCAAAATTATAAAAGTGTTTACATCGTAAAGAAAAAAATCATTGACCATGCATTTGCCTTAGATCCTCAATATTTGTGAAGCTGCAAGATTAAATTTTCTTTGCCTTGAGGGGCTGGTGCTGTAAATCTTTCCTGGTTACAAGTGGTTCAGTGTATAGGACACTACTAGATAATGTTCCCTGAATGGTGCATAGAAAGAATGAATTTACCAACAAATGCATTCAGTTAAGTGTATTATAATATTTTTCAAATATTGCATGTTGCTATCTTAAATAATATATTCAATATTGCCTTTTCATATATAAATATATTAATAAATATATCGAAGGCAAATTTCCAAACTTATTGATCTGTTATTGCTCTTATTAAGTAATTTTGCCTTGTTAATGATTTAAACTATAAAAATATTTTGATTTTTAAAAATAAGGTCAGGGTCAATAATCTATTCTTGTTTTATTATGCCTCCTCTGATTATCATTATCATATGTACTGTGATTTTTACAGTATGCTGTACATATGGTATTAGTGAAGAGCATCCAAAAGAGTACTGCCAATTTAAAATTTTCCATTTTAGCAGTTATTCAAAATCATTTCACTTTGCCAATAGATTTGAGGGTATCTGTGTTTGCTGCAGAGACACTATTACCCATTTAGCTGGAGCCATCTATATATCCTAAATATCATGTGTGAAATCCGTACTGTTAATATGACCTTGTAACAGTTGATTACTGCACTTCCCCAGACTCAGTGAAAGATTAGTGGAAGTCAAATGCAAGCAAAAAATAAAAGGTAGTGGGGAGGGTGGCAATTATCCCACAAATGAAAAGTTTAGAGCTTAATTTCAAGAACAGTTGGATCTGATGCAAAAATGTTACAAGTTCTTTCTGTGTTACTTGGCTCTGTTCGTTTCAGTCTCAGGCAAGCTCTCTTCATCTAGAGAGAGAATTGAAACCTACAGGCTCTGCACAGGGAAGGAAGGAACCCAAAGCACTGGCAGTTCCATCAGCAGAGTAGAAACTATTTCTGAAAGGCCAAGATGTGGACTGACAAAGAAGTTGGAGATGCCACAACAAGGCCATTGTTGGTTTTAGACACGATGACCTGTTTTTGTGAAATTACTGTTTGGCATCCGTCTTCTTTTATCCATTTCTCTTTCTACTTTTGCAAGTCAGCCTTATTCTAAAACCTAGCTCTCTCTCTTTTATGTTAACTCCTGTGGCCCTGGACACTGAAACTCCATAGAATTCCACCTTACCATTAATGAATGAAGTCTTCTAGTTAAATGCTCCACTACGCTTCTCACTGTCTAACTTTAGCTTACTAAATTAAATTTGCTGAGCCTTAATTAAACCACTTACAATGTGAATGATGATACACTATATTAGTCAAGGTTCTCAAGATCTGCCATATGCAAGCTGAATACCCAGGAAAACATGTGACACAGTTTAGTGTGAGTCTGACGGCCTGAGAACTAGGGAAGAACGTGACATAAGTCCCATACAGCCTAGCTCAAGCTGTTAGGCAGGATGAGTGCATTTTCCTTTCCTCCTTTGCCTTTTGTTCTGTAGTTGCTGAATGATACCCAACCCACATTGTGAGGACTGTTTTATTGAGCTCAACAATTCACATGCTTATCTCATTTAGAAGCCTCATGAACACACTTACTTGATCATATTTCCAGGCACTTTGTGCTCTAATAAAATTGACACATAAAATTAACCTCCAGGCATATAATATCATTTATGATCATTCAAATTATTACCATTCATATTCTAAATAATTTATAATATAGATATATTAATGACAATATTACATGTGCTGTGAAGTTTGTTTTGTGGATATTAAAGTTCCGTGTAAATTTTACTGCACTATATGAATATAAAATATTACTAGGCTGCCTCCAACCCATATAAAATACATGCCTTCTATGAGGTTTACTTACTTTGTATTAACTCACTATCTGAAAAAGCAAGTTCATAATTAGAGGTTAAGTGATGAAATGGTTTTAATGTGTCTCATCTCCAAGGACTTCTATTTTTAAATGTGGGGTTGTCTGGCAGCAATGGCACACATCTGGAATCCAGTATTCTGGGATGCTGAGGCAGGAGGATAACAAGTTCAAGCCCAGCCTGGGCAACTTAGTGAATTAGAAAGACCTTGTCTCAAAGAAACATTAAAAATGGGTTACAGATATAGCTCATATGAAGTTTGTGGGTTCCATCCCCAGTACAGCAAACAAAACAACAATTGCAAAAACCCTATGGCATCTAGAAATACAATGTCTTTGCAATTAATTTCTGACTGATTTGTAATAATATCCTCACAGTTATTCATCCCACAGAAACAGGCGCGAATGGGATTAAGATAATAAATTTGGAGCCAAAGATCACCAGTTCATTGCTAGCTTTGTGATATTGGGAAAGTTATTTAACCAGTTTATTGTATGGTATGTGTGATAAAGCCTTTGAATAGTGCCATATAATAGATGCCCAATAAATAATTGTTGAATGAATATTGCCCTGTGGTGTATACAGCTCCAAATATATGATGATGTATAATAAAGATTTATATGATGTATTTGAGTGTTACCTCTGCTCTCAAAAATGTGTAACTATATCTAACAACCAAAACTCGAAGAAGAAGGCCATCAATTATTTGTGTGTGGAAAAGAACTTTTAAATACTTTAATTCTCAAATATTTAATGACTTTTATATTGAACTATGTGGTACATTTTTCCATTTAGTTATTCTTGTTTTAAATTTTTCATGTCCTCGATACAGTAGTGGGACAGAAAAGTTTTAAACTGAATACATGATTAGGAAGAACCAGATTTTCTTTTTTTAAACCAAGGTCAGATGTCATCCAAAGGTTCACATTTTATAAATTTATTTAAATAATCTTATAATTAGCAAACCTAATGTTTGTAATATTTTGTACAGTCTTTGTTGCAAAATTAGATATATCTATCCTTCTTTTTCCATGTCTGCCCAAAGAGTACTAACACAGTTAGATTAAGCTCTAAGGTTGTATTTCTCTCTAATAATATGTGATTCTGTGATTCTCTTGTAAAATGAATTACAGACTGCTTCTTCTTTAGGAATATAAATATTGAGTAGAAACAGTAATTGCTCTTGCACAGCTAAGTTCAATAAAACCTTCTGCACTGATGGAAATTTTCCACATGGCTATTGAGCCCTTGAAATGTAACTAGTGTGACTGAGGAAATGAATTTTTAATTTTATTTGAGTTAAGTTTGATTTAAATTACAATAGCCACAGCTCTCGAGTTATCGATTCATAAAAAAGATTGGTGAGAGATGGTTGGAATGGAAAGAAAACACAATTTATAAGCTTGGGCAATGCCTTTAAAAGCAGCAATGTCACCCTTTCTTTTCAGTCTCCTGCACACAGTTACTCAAGCTATGACTCTGGCAAAAATGAGAGCGTAGACCGAGGCGCTGAGGACCTGTCACTCAACAGAGGGGATGAGGATGAAGATGACCACGATGACCACGATGATTCCGAGAAAGTGAACGAGACAGACGGCGTTGAAGCGGAAAGGCTGAAAGCTTTCAATGTGAGTCCTGCCACACCCCTGCGCAGTTCCATTTTTACCACTTTACTTAGTGTTGTTGCTTTTTGGTCAATGTGGATATTTTAGAGCCATGTTTGTTTAATTTACAGAAGGATTTAAAAAGTACATGAAACTCTCTTTGCCAACTAGACACCAGAGTTGCTGTGCTTTGTTTAGAACTTTAAAGCTAAATGTGAGCTGGAAACTGAAAAGGTGTTGTGTGAGTATGCATGTTTACGTAGTAGATAAAGGGGCTCAGCTTATTTCTCGGATGAGTACGCCCGTCCCTCACCGGTTACTCAGGTATTACTTTTGCTTTCCAACTTATCTAATTATGCATGACAAACAGTCAATCGTTTGTTTTCAGAGATTAGTCCACCGTGTAGTGTAGCAATGTAGCAGTCGTATTTATCATTAACAGAGAATTTAATGGGAGGCTCAATTGTCACGGTGTACTGTTATCTCCTGATTTTTTTCTACATGATAGTCTATTCCTTTCTGTCTGTGTGTCTGTCTGCTTTTCTCTCTCTTTTCTCTCTCTATTTTTTAATCCGACCATTTAGAAAATCTTTAAAGAGTGTTTGCTTAAAATTTCTGGCTTCCCATTGCAAAGTTCTTCAGTGCGTAAACCAGAAAAGAATATTTTCCAATCGGTAATCAAGACAGGAAGCTAGGAACGGAAGACAGCAGCCCTCCAAACCCTTCTCCTCTGTCTCCCTCTTGCCAACAGATGTTTGTCAGGCTGTTTGTAGATGAAAACTTGGACCGAATGGTCCCAATCTCTAAGCAGCCCAAAGAAAAGATCCAGGCTATCATTGACTCATGCAGGAGACAATTCCCTGAGTATCAAGAGCGTGCCAGAAAACGCATACGTACTTACCTCAAGTCCTGCAGGCGGATGAAAAGAAGTGGTTTTGAGATGGTGAGTTCTGAATTGAAACACAGCCCTAGATTCCATCCAAATCCCACATGTAAACCATGACACTATTTTTTTTTCATCTTAGTGTCTTTTTCTGTTTTTGGTTTTTTGTTTTTTCTTCCATGATGTCAGGTCAGAGGGGTTTTTCGTTCGCTTGTTTGTTTTTTCCCCTTCTCCTTTTCATCTCCCTGAAGTATTTCTTCCCTTTGTTTATTTACTAAGAAATGTCTCCCAGAGCCACGTGGTGCCATGTCACAGAAAATGAGGGTGATCCGAGTAAAACCCAGGAAGAACAAGCAGCTTGTTTGTTGTTATTTTCTTTACATCGCTACCAAAATGGGTCTGAGGGTAACCAAGCCTTGGGCTGAAGCAGCAATTGTTGCTTTAGATGATGTGCGCATGGCTTTCTCTAGAAGAAGAGGGAATGGATGGACCCATCTGAAAAATTCTGTTTTCAAACAAATAATTAACAAATAACAAAGAATAGCCCAGGGGATGAAAAAGCTCAGGTGAAAATTAAGGCTTTGTTGGGCTGGGAGTATTTATTTGTGTGCTTCTTCATGGTACCATGAGCTTCATATTCACTGGGGCTTCGTAGAAGGATGAGATTATGTTGCTATTAGATGACTTGTGAGGAGGAAATTAGAAATCCATGTTTTTTGAACTTTATTCTGTTTTACCTTGCACTAAATTTACAATGAATATTTTGTTTTTACATCTTAAATTTTGTGTGTGTGAATAGAATTATAGTAGAATTTTTTTTGAACCTTTTTTTTTTCTTTTGTTACTTTTATCTGAGAAGGCTACATAAAAGCCTGGCCTGTGTTTGTAAAATGTGTTTCTAATTTATAAAGATCATGTGATAGGAGCTGGTATAGATAAGGAAGGTTTTATAGCATATCATCTATAGGAGTTTGGGGCTGGGGATTTAGCTCAGCGGCAAAAGCGCTTGCCTGGCAAGTGCAAGGTCGTGAGTTCGGTTCCCGGTACCAGAGAAAAACCAAAAAAAAAAAAAAAAAAAAAAAACCATCTATAGGAGTTTTAGAGATGTGAAAGTCTTGAGAAGTTAATGACAGGTTTAACAGTTCTTTGTAATATACAATTTCCACTCTGGTATCAAAAAGCATCTTAGCTTTTTAAGAAAAATGACTGTAATTTAAAGAAGAGGCAGTTATTCTACATGATCAAGAGTATGTACTCTGCTCTCTGAGAACCTAGTATCCAGTTCTGGATCCACCACTTTCCTGATAGATGCTCTGGGTGAGTGACTTCTTTTGCTCAGGCTCCTCCACTGGAGAGGGTCCCAACTTCTGACATCTAGAGCTATGAGAAGTATACAAGTTGCCTCACCTCTACAAGTCATTTCTGGAAGATACTAAGTATTTAATAAATCTTGACCCTAAAATATTGTCAAATATTATTTAATTCACCATCTGAAAATAGTTTCTAAAAATATTTTTATTCAGGACAGTCCAGTGAATGGTTTGCTTACTTCTCAGGATACCTGTATTGAAATTGGAGTTTATGGTGCATATAAATAATTTTATGGTAAAAATGGCATAACTTAGTGATAAATATAACAGTAGAGGTGGTATAGGATAAGAGACAATGAGAGACTACTTGGAGAAAATAAAAATATTCTCCACACTGTAAAATTGTTTAATTATTACTGTACTCTGTAAAATACTACTCAGGTGTTAAATGAAACAGCTACCTAGCCAAGAGCTAAACTGTGGAAACTGATAGTAGTATCAGGTTCAGAGTCACTTGACAGTTGACATAAAATTCCAGTGGAAACTAAGTATATCTCTGAGGATATTGCACTGTAAAATATGAGCTCTCTTCTGAAAACAATAAAGATAAGCATATCATACATCTACATTCTTACTTCTGTCAGCACCTCTCTACTATTTTTCTAACATTTTAATGATATTTAGAGATTCTTTGCTAAAACTTGCCTTATTTTTATATGCAAAATTTTACATTTATCATTTTTTAAAAAATTACTATATAGAATTAACTTTTTGAAAGTGTACTGAAACACTTAATCATTTTCAAAAATCAATTACCATTCTTATTAGTTAAATTTATTCACTTCAACACAGCATCTATATGGTATAAACTTTGTGCTATATAGGGAGAACAAAAAGTTAAGTTTTACAAATTCATCTTGAAGTAAATTTGCTGCTGAGAAATTATATAGTATTTAAATTTTAATAATTTTTATTCATGCATTTGTTCATTTATTTAATACAATTATAGTATACATAACATCATACAAGGAAATAAGAAGAAATACTCATCTGGCTTATTCATTAGGACAATAAAATATTTCCTAACTCATCATAATATGTTAGAAGACAAGTTGTGTAAAGTGAAATGCTTAAGTACTAGCACAAGGTCTTATGTAAAAATGTTAAATGAATTCCATGGATATAAATGGACATTAAATTCAGCGCATTTTTGTTTTATATATTACTCAGTAGTGTACCACTGGAAATAATACATCAAACCCACTATCTAGTAGACATGAGTCAGTCAGCTTTCTATCACTATGACAAAACACCTGAGGGGATCAAATTATAAGAAGGAAAGTTTTGGTTGGAGCAAAGTTTGGTGATTTCATTCCATCATTAGTTGGCCCTGTTGCTTTTAGGCCTTTGATGAGGCAGCACATTATGGTAGAGAGCACGTAACAGAACAAAGTAGCTCATCTCTTGATAGCTGGGAAGGAATGGGAGAAAGAGGAAGACCCAGATTCCAATAGCTCCCTGAAGGTCCTCCCTTTGGCATAACATCCTCCTACTGGGCCACACTGATTAAAGTTTCCACCACCTCCCAACAGCACAGTAGTATGGGGGCTGATCCTTCAACCACGGGCTTTTAGGACCACTTAGAAATCATAGCAGCACAGTTGAAATTTTAAATTTTTTGTAGATAGCTTTATTGCCATGGAGTGTATATAGGATGTGTCATGTTTGGCATCTATGGCTACCTGGAATAGCTAGGAAGAGGCATGGCTAATGAAGACAGTAATTACAACTAAATTTTTTACATAAATGAATTTGCCCCCATAATTTTTAAGTTTAATATAGGATAATGTTCACAGGAGAACTTTTAAATTGAAACATTAAACAACAATCCTCTATTGTGTCTTGTGTAGGTAGATGTAAAAATAATGTATCATTTAAAATAGGTGATTAATTTTACATGCAGTTATTCAACAATGTATAACAAATCAACCAAGACCTTTATATTATTTTCATCATACATAACTGTAAAAATGCACACTTATTTAGTAGAGGGATCTGTATTGTAAAATGAAACTAGTGTTCACAAACTCACCTCTTCCATTAACTTAAGATTTCTATAGTCAAAATATTCCATAAGTAGAATGGAACAGGATAAAATTGGATTATGTTATTCTGGCTGACTTTAAGAAATTCAAAGGGATATTCCTCTAGAAGTGGTTTAACACAATATATATCTGTGATAAACTTGAGAATCTTAACATTCACTTTGACTACTTTTCTTTCACTGCTAATACAAACTCTGTTTATGTTTAATTATCCTACACTATTCTTGAATGAATTTCCATGCCGACACAAATACTTCTAATTGGCCTCACTTGATGCATACAAATCTTAGAATATATATTTATGCAGTTATTTCACTGGAACTAGCAAGTCCTTCACAGGTCTTGATGGCTTGAGCAGCAGAAATTTCTGTCGTGCTTCAAACAGTCTCTATAATACATGAAGTTGAATAACCGCAATGATTCTTTTCTACACATTTTCACCAATTCTCTATTACCTATCATCTCAAATCAAAAAGTCTTCAGTTTTAGCTGTAAAAGGGCATGTTTAAAGGAAAATCTAATAAGCTTGCTTCAGAGTACCATCAGAGTTTTCACTGAATGGTGATCTTCATAAGTTGTAAAGCCATTAAATTAAACCTCAGTTAAATATTGTGTATTAAGTTGTTATTGAATGTATTGGGTAGATTTGACTCCCAAGTTACTTCAGGTACTTCTCTGAAGAATAATTGTTCATTGTTCAAAAGATGCATTTCTCCAAGGTGTCCTGATCTTAAATTCAATGGTAGAAATAACAGAAGCCGAGATTTATGAATCAGAGGAAGTTGGTCCTTACTGAGTATCATTTCTCTTATGTGAGAAGTTTTCTTGCTATTCTTTCCTAAATTCGTATTAGGACTCTTTCACTACATTGCATATGATTCCATGTAGTTTTATACAATTTAAATTAAGATATTTAGGGGTGATATAATCTAAAAAATTTTAGTCCATTATTCCTTTTACATGCCAAATTTTGCCACTGTACACAGTTAGGCCAAGTAGCCTATGTAATTAAATTCTGTAACCTCAACTTCTTGAAAATTTCCTAGTTGGTTGTTTTCAACTGTTTGTGATTGACTTTGTTTCTGTAAAGTCTCACACAGTTTTTAAAGTTTGGCCAAGAACATTGTCCATTAGGCTACAAAATGTCCAGCATAGAAGGCCTCATTTTAGAGACTTTTTTTTTTTAAAAAAGAATTTAATGCAAGAAAAAAAACTGTTTCTCATAAAAAAATAAAACGTGTTTATCAGTTCTCATCACTGGGACTGCACAGCTCATGTGCCTCTCTGCGTTTCACTGACAGCAAGTTTGGGGCCAAACTCTTTCAAACATCACAATTGTTCTGTGTATCTTAGTGTAATTATTTTTGTGGCAGATCTAACACTTAAAGAAAAAGTAAGAGATAGCTTTTTAAATAAGAAACTAAATATCTAGTTCCAGAAACACCAGTAAATATGTCTTTTGTATTAAAGAAATCATATACCTTTGAGAGGACTTGACTTCTCACAGTATTTGCTTTTACTTGTCTTACGCTGCTCAAAGTAGAGACTTCCATGCTTATTTTTAATTCAGAGATTTAGTCAGGCATGGTGGCACATGCCTGTAATCCCAGCACTCAGGAGGCTGAAGCAGGAGGATCACTGAGAG